AAAATTCCCCCTGTGTCGGCCCTTAGCTGGATTCCTGTTGTATCAGTAAAAACAATCTCAAAGTCTTAAATGTAAAAGCCACATAAAAGGTATTTATCTTTTGTAAATTTTTTTAAATATATTTTATAATAAAAATTAAAATAAATTTGTAATAAAATAGATTCTATATTAGATATAAAATATACGTGAAAGTTGACAAAATTTAAAATTTAATATATATTGAATTGGTGCCAATTTAACTGAAATGATAATATATATCATATAATTTTATATTTGCCTTTTTATTCTTCTATATAATTATTAATAAAATAATTAAAATATACTATTTTAAAAAAATTAAACTAAAAGTATGTAAAAATAATTTATCATTATATCCATACTTATTTATTAAATATATTTTTTTATAAATATTTTTTTAATAAAATGTAATATAGGTAAAAAAAATTACTTTTAAACCGAGACCTTCTTTGTACCCATAAGAAATCTCAATTTAGAGATGACAGTAATAAAATGAATATATAATATTTTGTAAAATTTAACTATTTAAATTTATTTTAAAATTTAACTATTTAAATTTATTTTAAAATTTAAAATATGTTTATTATTCACTCTAAACCTATATATCTTTATCTATATCTGAATTCATATTAATTAAAATTATATGTTAGACGTTTAAATTTATTAAGTAATTGAATAGTTTTTTTATTATAATATCGTATCTATTCATAATCTTTTTAGTCATTTGCATCACATTACATTATGCAAATACTCAAACCCAAGACCTCTAGGGAGAACAATATTATTTTTTTTTCATAACCGATGTCACTCAATAGATTCAATTTAATTATTTTTTAAATAAAAAAATAAATCAAATATTTATAAATATATGAACCCAAGGACAGACACAATATATTATGCTATGGGGGCAAACTTATAAAATTTTAAATGGAACCAAAATTAAATTGTCAATTAAAAATATAAATAAAATATCTAAAATATATATTAATTTAAAATTTTCAGGGACAACTTTCTCGCTCGTACTTCCATCATTCCTTCCATATATGAACCCACATAATTTAGTATATCCCTAAACCAAGTTTGATGTTTCAAAATAAGATTTTGAATTTTGTTGACGTGTTTTTTTATTCTTATTTTAGAATGAACACGTGTTTTGTAAATAATAATATTACATTACATATAAAATTTAAAAATAATTAAGTTTAAATATTTGTTACTAAGTAAACTTATTATCATCTCTATTAATATAACCAATAACAATTAGCCAACGCAAAGCATGTTATTTGACAATGAAAATATATATTTTTATTTATATATAACACATGATTGTAACACTTTAATGGTTAACGTAAAAGCTAACTTTGGGATAACAATATATAATATAATTTTAAATTAGTTGAAAATATTAAAATATTCTGAGAATTGCGTATAGAATAAAACATCAAATATTTTATTATAGACTCAATGGTGTGTGAACTATTCAAAATTAAAAAAAATTTAATGTGACTCTTGAATTATTTTTATACCAAGTGTGATCCTCAAATTCAGGAAAAAAATCCAATAGGGTATTTTGACTAATTATATATGTCGTTAACCGTTACGATGTTGATACGATATTTACACTATTGACATCGCAATTAATGGTGTTGACGTGGTAGTCTATAATGGTTGATAATGTGGTAGATGGACTAAATTATTTTTTTGGTCAAGTTGGAGGGCTAAATTACTTTTTTTTTAAAAGTTCAATGACTTATTTGATTTTTTAAAAGTATATTTATTTAATATTAAAAAATATGTATATAAATACCAAAAAATAAATTCCTAAAATTTTAAAAATATATAGTAAAAATACTATTAAAACGTAAAAATTAAAAATACATCACAGACTATAAAATTATAAATTATTAACAATTAAAAATAATTTAAAAAAGCATATATTATACATCTTGCTTTAGATACACAAAGACAAATTAAACATATTTATATAGCCGAATTAGTAAAACTAACATGCTTTTAATTTCATACATATATACATACATACATCAACAATCACTACATATGTCATATTCTTTTTATTTCTTACATATATAAATATTATACATGCTTTCTTTATCATATATTCATATCATCAACACTTATATAAAGTGTTCTTATTGATTTAGTCGAAACTTAAGATTTTTTTATCTGAATATAATTAAGAAATACTGTAAATCATTCAAAACATTTATACACACATCTAATTATATGTTGGACAATTCAAATGACTATTCGCAATCTTGAGCACATCGTATAATGAGCTAGCATAGAAAGCGCATTCAAATTACTCCCATGTTTCTAAATTTTTATTTTTATGACATTATTACCTTATGTTTAAGGAATATAAAAAAATTTTAAAATATAAAAACTATTAATATATTTTGAAAAAAATATGATAAATAAATAGCAGTAAACTCAAGCTAACAATAGAGAAATGAGTATTTTTCAAGTATTCAAACTTTTTAATACCTTTAAAAAAATTATTTTAACAATTTATCATTTATTATTAGACAGCTTTATGAAATTTTTTAAATATTTTTAAAATTTTAATGATACTTTTTAAATTTTAATAATTTTATATTTTAAATTTAAATAATTTATTTTTTTCATTTTTCTTAAAATTAAAGGCTCAATGGTATGTAAGTCTCTCAAACTTTTTTTGGGAAAAAAATCAATATAACCCTCAAACCATTTTTGCACTCAATGTGGTCCGTAAATTTATAAATAAGCATTAATGTGACCTTTTGATCGTTGAATGTTACGATATTAATGTGATAGTTTACTGTGCTAATCAAATATTATAATTAGAAAAAATACTATAATAAAATTTTAGTAATAATTGAACGATTAATTAGATATTATCTAGTAAGTTAACGTGTTATGTTATCTCCTTAATGATATGTAATGATAGAGTTGATCATTTTATAATTTTTGAAAGTTCACTAATTAAAATGATCAAATATTTATAATTTAGGAGTTATTTGTGTACTTTACCTAATTTAAAAGGGTTTGGAGCATGGAATCAAGTGAAGTAATACAACTTACAAGAAAAATATTCCTTAGTATTTTCTTTCTTAAAAGCATCTCTTCCCCATAAAAAGCTAAAAGAAAAACCCTAAAAAACAATGCACAAAATTATTATTAAAATCATTGAATTATAACACAAAAGGAGAAAATATATCTTAAACCCCATTTGTTGTTGGAAAGATGAAAAGGTCAAAAAGAAGTAAAGCGACAGAGTTTGGAGTTTAGCTGAGGTTATTTTCTTGGGTTAAGAAAACCAAACCAAATGGGGGATGAAACCAAAGTTACTTTTTGACTGTGAAAGACATGAAATACATTCATAGTAAAAGAAAAGTAAAAATAACGATAACAATTCATTAAAATAAAGGTTGAAAACAGGAGGAATGTACGCTTTGCAGTAGCAGTAGCAGTAGCAGCATGCTATGCCTACGCTACTACCATATTTTGTTCACAGCTTTTCTTGCACTGTAAAGCAATAAAGCAAACTACCTCTCATGCATACCTATATCATATTAATTTAATGTTTTTAATAAGAATCATTATATGTAATATTAGACTAATATAGATATACGTGGTTGACGAGAGAAATGAGGTTATAAAGATGGTTAGGGATTTATGACTTTTGATTTAGACAAAGAGTTATATATAATGAGTATGTTAATGAAATAGAGAATAGATGATTTGAATAAGATAACAACAATGAGAGAGGCTCAAAGAAAAATAGTGTTTCATTGTTTAATTTTGTATGGTGGTTTATATACAAATATTTTGTGTTGATGTTAGACATAAGATGATGATTTGAATAAGATAATGAACAATGAGAGATGCTAAAGATCTCATTGTTTAATTATGCATGATGGTTTAATACGAGCTCTTGGTATTTGTGTCATACCTAAGATGATATTTTGATTAAGATAATGAACAATGAAAGATGCTCGAAGAGAAATAATGTCCCATTGCTTAATTCTGTATGGTGGTTTATATATGAGTTATTGGTGTTGGTGTCAAACTTAAGGTGATGATATGAATAAGATAATGAACAATGAGAGATGCTCAAACATAAATAGTGTCCTATTGTTTAATTATGCACGGTGGTTTATATATAAGTTTTTGGTATTGGTGTCAAATATAAGATGATGAACCGAATAAAATAATGAATAGTGAGAGAGACTCAAAGAGAAATAGTGTCCTATTATTTAATTTTGCATGGTGGTTTATAAACGAGCACTTAGTGTCAGTATCAGATCTAAAGTGAGGATGACTATTTATAGATCGATAGAGTGAACAAACCTGATCATTATATAATAGATGTAGTCGGTAATAGGATTGACATCGATCACTAAAAAGAAAAGTTTGGAAGATTTAAAACTAAAAATTTAAGTAGACGGAGTAGTGTTCACGAAAAGAAAGTTTATGAAGGAGGTACAACAATATCAAATTGATAAATATATAGATTCATTTGTAAGAAAATAGATAAAAGAAGAGGTGAAGTGTGAAAAAGTTACAAATGTGCTGTACTTCGTGTGGAAGTAGATTTGGATGTGTGGAGTTAGTTAATTTCATGTGTGAGCTGGATCCATGCCTATATCACTGACCCACTTTAAAATTAAAATAATTAAATAATAATCCAGAAAACACAGAAATTGAGCTTCAAGGCGAGACAACTTCAATTCAATCTCACAAAAACTTCATATAAATTTTATCTTATAATAAAGCCAAAATCAGCCTCTTCTCCTCAAAATTTTAGCTTTCGACTTTGGGTTCTTTCAGATTCCAACTGGGTATCAGTCAAAGTATCATTCTTTATTATCCTTCTTTAATGCTTAGTTCAAGTCCAAGGATGTGAAAGTCAGTATCTTTATGCAAAAAAAGTTGTCTGTTTATCTTTGCTTTCTTGGTTTTGAGTCAGTTTTTTCTTATAGATGAAATTTAGTTGTGGGAGAGGAGCCATGTCAATTACTAGCTCAAGTGCTGCTTGGAAACCAACAGATGTTGTTGCTGATCAGTTCCCTGCTGGTTTGCGTGTTCTTGTTGTTGATGATGATCCCACTTGTCTAATGATCCTGGAAAAGATGCTAAGAACATGCCTTTATGAAGGTACTTTTACACAAAATCTTTATATTTCTTTATTGGGTTTTCTTAGTTTTAGGTTTTGATTACGAATTTGTGTCTTCAAGACACTGATTCTTGTTTTAGTTTTATCATGGCATCTATGATGGGGTTTTTCTTTTTCTTGCTTATGTTGATTTTGTTTGCGGGTCATAGTGGAAAAACAGGAAAAACAATGATCTTTGCTTTGTTAGATTTGGGAGCAGTTAGGGTTTATAACTTTGATCTTAGATTTAGCTTTAAAGGCCTGATTTGTTTTGTGTCTGTGCATCTGTAATTTGGGGATTTGTTTTTCCCCTTCCTTGTGGATGCTTCAGAGGTTGATGTTCTTTGTTATTTTGATGGATGATTGGTTGATTTGTGTTTTGTTTTTAACAGTTACCAAATGCAATCGAGCAGAGACTGCATTGTCGATACTCCGAGAGAACAAAAATGGGTTCGATATCGTTATCAGTGACGTTCACATGCCAGACATGGATGGATTTAAGCTGCTTGAGCATATTGGTTTGGAGATGGACCTCCCTGTAATCAGTAAGCATTATATCATCTAGAATTCTTAATTACCATGAGTTTGACAATTTCATGGGGTTCTGTGGGTACTTTTCGGCCTAATTTGACTTGTATTTCTGCAGTGATGTCGGCAGATGATGGGAAACATGTTGTTATGAAGGGTGTTACGCATGGTGCTTGTGATTACCTAATCAAGCCAGTTCGTATTGAGGCACTGAAGAACATATGGCAGCACGTTGTTCGGAAGAGGAAGAATGAGTGGAAGGACTTTGAGCAATCAGGAAGTGTAGAAGAAGGGGATAGGCAGCCGAAACAATCTGAAGATGCAGATTACTCGTCTTCAGCTAATGAAGGGAACTGGAGAGGCTCAAAAAAGAGAAAAGATGATGAAGAGGAAACCGATGAGAGGGATGATACTTCCACGCTGAAAAAGCCAAGGGTTGTGTGGTCTGTTGAGCTCCATCAGCAATTTGTTGCAGCAGTTAATCAACTAGGCATTGACAGTATGAATCTTTTACCCAGTTCTTCCAATTTGCTGATGTTCGGTCGCTGAAAAATATCTTTTATCATAATTTTATATGAATTTTAGAAATAGTCAGTATGCATTAGTCTAAGTAGATCTTCAATAATCCATTCCTTTTTTTGTCAACTGATTTGTTGTTCGTATAAGCTCATGCTTTGGGATCGAATTGTATCAGTCTATTGCCAAATGAATTAAATATTAATCATTTAGTATTCTTCCTTTCATTTCATTTACTGTTGAAATGCTCCAATAAACTTGAATTGACCAACTACATGCCTGTTGGTTTTTGGTGTTCGTCTTCTTGTATCGTTTCTCTCTTATTAAAGTTTCTGTTTGAATTTCTTTTACAGAGGCTGTCCCGAAGAAAATTTTGGAGTTGATGAATGTTCCAGGCCTTACCAGAGAAAATGTCGCCAGTCACCTTCAGGTCTGTATGTGGTCACTGAATACACAATCTTTTCACTATCCTGCATTTGCTTCTAATAATTTGTTCTCTGAATATATTTGATCCTTGGATGATAATAACTATGTTATCATGCATGATCAGAAATACCGCTTGTATCTTAGACGGCTGAGCGGAGTATCACAGCACCAGAGTAATTTGAATCCTCCTTTTATCAGCCCCCAAGACTCAACTTTTGGGCCGCTCTCTTCTCTCAATGGACTTGACCTTCAAGCTCTTGCTGCCACCGGTCAACTTCCTACGCAAAGTTTTGCCAGACTCCAAGCAGCGGGGCTTGGTCGGCCGACTGCTAAATCCAGCATACCTATGACCCTTGTTGACCAAAGAAACATCTTTAGCTTCGAAAATCCGAAGTTAAGATTCGGAGAAGGACAGCAACAGCAACAACATATGAATAATAAGCAGCAAATAAATTTACTTAATGGAATTCCTACAAATATGGAGCCAAGGCAGCTTGCCAGCTTGCAGCACGGTGGACAATCAATCGGAAACATGAATATGCAAGTCGCTTCCCATGGTGCGCAAAATAACCAAAATAATTCTTTATTGATGCAAATGGGGCAGCCACAGTCAAGAGGGCAGATACTCGGTGATACCACTGTTAGTCACTCTCCCAGGCGTCCCTCATCCATGGGACAGCCTATATTGTCCAATGGAATGGCCGCTAATGTCGCTTCAAGAAACGGGATTCCTGAAACTATTGGAGCCACTAGTTACAATCCGGTTTCACAGGCCACTTCAACGTTGAATTTCCCAATGAATCACGCTTCTGAGCTACCTGGTAATAGTTTCCCACTCGGAAGTACCCCTGGGATTTCTAGTTTTTCATCAAAAGGGACTTTTCAGGAAGATGTTAGCTCGGAAATTAAAGGATCCGGAGGATTCATGCCCAGTTACGTTAAATTTAATGATTTGAGTCAACATAAACCCCAAAATTGGGAGCTGCAGAATGTTGGCATGACTTTCAACTTCCCTCAACATTCAAGCTCTCTTCAAAGCAACCTTATGCAATCTGTTTTAGTTCAACAAGGATCTTCTGGCCAAATGAACGGACATAACAGGAGTTCAGCCGTTGTAAGCAGGGCAATGTTCTCGGCAGGAGATATTAAGGAGCACGGGAATGCACAAAACGTTAACCAACATCTCAACAACCTTGTTGACAATATAATAAGGGTCAAATCTGAGGGAGTTTTCGATACCAGCCCTGGCAATCTATTCCCTGTCCATTTCGGACAAGAAGATCTCATGGGTGCTCTTCTCAAACAGGTTTGATTTTTCTCTTTATCTTTATTATACATGTTTAAGACGGTACCCACTTTCATGAATCAGTGAGTATATATATGTTCACTTATTTTTTGGCAGCAAGACAGCATTGCACCTACTGAAAACGAGTTTGATTTCGACGGGTATTCGAAGGATAATATTCCGGTGTAGGGGGGTTCTTCCATACTACAGTTCTCTTGGTGGTTGCAATTTCCGATGTACATATTCGATGTAACTGAAAAATCTCTTCAGCAGGAACTCGAGTTAGTTGTTTCTTTCGAAGATTTGCTTAGTTTCTGCTCAGTTTGTTTTGAACCGACCAGGATCAGATGATTGCTATTGCAGGGATTAGTTTAGTGTTGGAAGATAATTGGTGAAGTGTGTAAAATACTTTGGTGCATGAAATGCAAAGGTGTTCATGCGAAATTTTGATTGTTTTGGGTAGCGAAGATGGACTAATTTTGTCCACCATGTGGAGCCATTGTTCCTTTAGACATCAGCAGCAGGCTATGGGGTACTTTAATAACGGATCAAGTTTGCTCCTTTTTTTCCTTTTATTAATGATATGATGTTTCTGATGTATTATTATATACAGATTCAGCTGGTATTAATAATTGATTTCAAGGACACTACAATTTATTTTCAATCATTTTATCCCTTCACTGTAAATCCTGTCTCTCAGACTTTTTGTTCAATTTAGTCCTTAAAAATTTTAGAGAAAAATCAAGGAAAATAAATGTAGTTTACATTCTCGTATGATCATGGATCATTACATATGTTTGTAAGTTTTCAGAATTACGTGGAGACTACATGGTGATAAACCTGAGGCAGCAACCTATTGTACTCCAAATTCCAGTTTCGGTACCTTCAGCAATGTAATGATCGAACCGCTCAAAAGAATTAACGAATCAGCTATCGATACATGATCAAAAGACCGGCTCATTCCAGCTATTGATGCACCATTATCAACACAAGAACTGCCACCAAGATTGAGAGTACTGTAGTGGAGCCCTTTCCGTTACTATCGTTTGTCGGTAATACCAAGGGAAGAGCACATTCCTCGCCGTTGAAGAAAACTTTAGAGGGGAACCCGTCACCAGCAGCCACGTTAATGCCGGGGATATTTTTCTTGGTGAAGGAGATCACAGTTTGTTGTTTCCCAGGCACTCTTGGATCTTTCTCTGGGTTGGTTCCATCAGTTTCTCCCACAATATAGTTTAATCCGGGAAGACCTTGCATGAGAATAGTATTGTTAACCCCACTCAAGTCCAAGGCAGTTCCGTTGAAGGAATACATCTTTTCAAACCCTAAGGCGGCTTTATCCATTTGTACTGCAGCAAACCAATCGGGGAATGCGGTTTCATCCCAGTTGAATATTGTGATACGAGCACTCCATCCACGAGAGTAGTCGGTAAGAACATGCCAGTTTATGCTGACCCCACAATTGTCACCACATGGCATTGGATTTGGCACTGTTCGGTGTTTAAGATCAGCCCAAGCTCGAGCCATGGTAGTTCGGTTCTCAAATGGAACGAGAAGTGCCTCGGGAGGAAGAAGGACCGCTTGAGCATTAGTGCTACAAGTGCGAGCTGTGTTGCTTGGGCACCCACATGCACAAGTTCTGCACGGGACAACTGAATCATTGTAGTAGGAAGAAAAAGACACACAACACTTGGGGCTTGCACCCTTTGGCTGTGTAATATTGCAAACCACCTGCCAGCTAGCAACTGCAGTCTTGTTTGAGGGCAAGCCACTTGGGTCCGGGAACTGGCTAGGGCTGACACGCACCGGAGGGCCACATTTGTAGTCAGGGTTCAATGTACCGTTGATCTTCCAATTCTGAGGAGGAGAAAGCTCGGAACGGTTGAGGTCTGGTGGCATCTTAAAGACCTGCATCTGGAATACTGAACTTGACTTGCTAGGGTCCATCGATGGAGGCAAGATAGTACCATTTCGGCAACATTTGGGGACCAACCCAAGGGTTGTATCATTGGCCTTTGTTGGAAGCAGATCGATAATCGTCGGCCGCCTCTCACAATTCAACACATTGCCAAAGTCTAGCTCTCTGTAGTATTGTCCTTGCGGGCCAAATATGCAGTCAGTCGAATCAACAACATAAGGATAAGCCCCTTTCATGGTATATATAAACTCATCCCTCATCCAATCAAAGCTCAACTTCCAGTTATCAAGACGGCCGAGGGGATTATGGTTCGATATTGTAACCTGCGACCAATAGTTTGAGTCATACGTTCTGGTCACATCATACATAATCGTAAGATCGCCACTTTGCCGAGGCAGAAACTCCTCATCTAAGGTAACATTCGATTTGAATTTTGGGTCTTTGGTGCAGCAAACTTGCATCTCGTTTCTACCTGCGACAACCACCGCCGGCAAAAACATACACCATCAATATCTGAAATGCATATTCACAACTAAATTGATGCTCAAAACTATGATTAAAAACAGCACTAATTAGCAGCATATAAATTTGAAACATGATCAAAGGGCTTTTCTTTTACTCTCTCGTCATATTTGACTAACAATTTAACAGTTAAATAGCTATAAACATTGAGACGGTTGTGTAACAAAATCTTAGACTAAGAAACAGACAGATCCCATAGCTTTAGTCCAAAATCAAACAAAGATAAATAAATAAACTTTACCCTTTCTTTTACCTTGCATAGAAGCCTTGGGACAAATAAACCCATCGTTAGCAAGCTGAATGCTTTTCGGCAATGGTACACCGGGAGCCGCCACGCCGAACTGAGTCCCAACAAGCTTAACTTGAACTTGCATCTGAGTCAAATCCCCCGCCGTTTCAATAGCCGTTTTGAGATCACTCATCGGAAACCCGGCGAAAACGGTGCCGTTCCCAACATTTGCAGGCAAACTCGTCCCGTCAGCCAAAACAGCATCCGAAGCCGAAACCAAAAACTCGTCGTTTTGAAACCCCACGAAAACTCTCCACGATTTAAGCTCCTCGTCGCCGTTATTCAGCACCGTTAATACCGACTCGAACCTGTAAGGCTGGTGGGTCGGGTCGTTGGGTTTTAGCTTGGTACCGGAACTGTAAGCGTAAGACAAGAATATACCGTTGCAAGAATCGGAGGAGGGAGATGGAGCCCCGACGACGTCGGTTTGGGACAAGGAGAAGTTCAAAAGGGAGAGAAGGAGCGAAAGCTTGAAGACGAAGTAGGGATTGTGGTTCGCATTGGAAGCCATTGATTTGTAACTTGGTTCCCAATTATATGCGCTGAAAGAAAAATTGGAATGAAATAATATGTAGAGAAATGAAACGCGTGGGACGAAGATTTGGAGAGGAGACAGCTAGCTCAGTAAACGATGGAATTTGAAAGAATCGTCTCTTTGATTTTCTCAAACCAAAATTTATTTTAGAGCCGACGACGCTGCTTCGTTAGGTTGTTTTCCTTCGGTTAAATTCTTTTGAAGGTACTTATACTATATGTTTTTGATGCTTTAGTACTACTATTATAATTTATGGTAAACTCTTTATTTGGTCATCCACATATTCTTGTGTTTCTGGTTTGGTCACCTAATTTTATTTCTTCAAAAGCATATCTATTATTACATTTTAGTTTGACCACCTGCCATTAGATTTGATCATTGATTTAACGAAAATTGTGATATAGCATGTTATAATAATAGTTTTAGTCCTCAAAATTTACATATTGTATCAAATTATCATAACTTTTTTTTAAAAAAAATAATAATAATAATCCCCAAATTTAAAAATCAAATCAATTGGTTCTTCTTTTAATTTTGAATAATTTATTAACACATTTTAAGGGTTTGTGTTTACTTTTAAAACTATAAAAGCTTAAGCATTTATTTTGTGAATGTCTTTGTTTTCTTCAAAAGGGTCGATCATCTTTTTCAATTAACCTCATCGTTGCTTCGTGTTACCAATTTCACCGTCCTTCGTAAATTGCGACTTGAACGTTAACCTCGCTCCTTAATAGTTTGACTTTCGTCGTTGGAAACTCTCGACGTTTCAGCAAGCTTCTCTCTCCCTAAACCTTTTAACTCTCAAATAGAAATCAACAACCACCTTCACCAAACTCTGTCTTATCACCACTCCAAACTGCACCCTAAACAGATCCGAGCCATGCCCCCTCTATGGTGCCAAGCCCCTTGTACCTTGTGTCTTTTCTTTAAGCGACTTGTACCCCAACAATCCCTCACTGCATGTTTGGCTTCATTTGAATATGTACACACACCCTCTAATTGAATCTAAGCTCTCACATAGTGTAGTTATCAATCAGACCCTAAATCACCTTTGAAACCCTAAACCATCACACCCAAAAACCTTTGAATCCCAAAGCAATATTGAAGACTACAATTGAAACGTCAAAATTGTGGGGAGGGTAAAAAATAGAATGTGAGGGCTTTTTATGATTAAAATTATTATCGTATTATGTTACATCATTATTTTTGTTAAGTTAACAATTAAATCTAATTGTGAATGACCAAAATAGAAGCGAAAAATTTGGTGTGATTCTAAAAATTATATAATTAAGTAAATAAAATAGAAACATTAGAATAAATGGATGCCTAAAAAAATAATTTATCTTATAATTGATTTTTTTATTTAAATATTTATTTCCAGTGTTATGACCAACTTTTTTTTTTCATTTAATCCGTCAAATAAATACAAGTGTCTTCCTTTTTCCACATCTGTTAACTTCTTTTTTTTTTTTTGCGTCTTTCTTACTTGAAAAGTAGTGCTGATCGTTAATATTAATGGTCTAATTAAAATTAAAATCTTATTTTAAAAAAATTAAAATGAAACGTCTATCCTTGGCAAGTAGAATTAAAATGCGTGCGAAAGGTATATGAAGTTGCCGTTGTAATGATGGCATTTTGAATTTCATTGGGTACCGTGTGAGAAAGGGATAGGCTGCTTGCACCCGTTGTTTTAAAGGGCTCCACTTTTATATATTAATCAAACCGAAAGTATTGAGATATTAAAATTATTTATTTATTTAAATAAAGAATTTACACTTACTTTATACTATATAAAAACTTCAACTTAAAACTTCATGATGTCTCAATCTTATTGCCTATGAAAGATTATAATTTTTTAGGATAAATTACACGTTTAATATCTAAATTATTACTTTTATTTTGTTTTAGTATCTGAATTTTATTTTTCTTTCAAAATCATACATAACATTTAGTTTAAATTTGAAATTATCTATATATATTTCCCCACTCTCCATCTCGCTTTATTAACATTTAGTTTAGTTTATTGAAGAAAGAAATAGAACGTTTGCAAGGGTCCAAATTAATGCAAGAGAGTGTTGCATAACCTCCGCCTGTTGTTGCGCCCACGTCTTCATCTGTAACTTAGCCCAAAGCTAACCATTCAATATAAAAGGCTTAATGCATTAATTGCTACTTAAACTTACTTTTAGAATTCAAATTGACACTTCAACTATCAAATTAGTTTTTATATTTTTTAAATATAATTTGATATTTTATTCATATAGAAAAGAAAAAAAATGAAAAGGAAGGGTTTATCTAGTTTTTTTCTTTTTTTTCTTTGGCCGCCATTAATTTCTCTTCTTTTTTTATCTTTAAGATCTACATCGATATCAATCTTCGTAATGATCATCGATTGTCAGCATTCATTATATTCTCTTTATTCTATTAAATTGTATATTTTTTTATTGTTTTTAAATTTTTAATAATCTTGCATTTATGGTACTTTTTCCCAGGCGTTTATGACACGATTTTTGTCGTTTGATCTTTTTGTTTGTTTATCTCTTTTTATAGTTACATTTGACATCGTCACGATTGATCGAGATGATGTTTATTTGTTATCATGCTGATCGTTCTTGCTTTGGACACTCAAATTGAATTTGGATACACGATATGCGTTCATGGATAATTTTTTACGTTGCTTCGACTCTGATTTATGAATTTTTAGTGGCATTTCAATAGTTTGATTCCTTTTCGTCGTTCGTTTGTTGATATGGACATATCTATTCGTATATATCTTTTGTTCAAGTTTATTTGATTATATTTTTTAACATTTTCATTGTATGATCCTTGTGTGACCTTAAGTGACTAGTTTTCTTTTATAAATGATTTCATGAAAATATCCTTATTATGTATTTAATTTACGGTTATGGTTTTAATTTTTATTATAATTTAAACATTTTTAATTTTTAATAAAAAGAAAATAACCTCAGTGACAAAAAATGCCTTATAATATACGATTTTAACCAACTTTTTTGGATTTGCCAAAATGACCAACTAAATCGCAATGCGATCGATAATTTGCAACGCGATCTCCGGTATCGCAATCAGTTTCCAGATTCGCAACGCGAACCACGACCACGACCCGACCCGACCCAGACGGACGGCGGCGGCGGCGCGCGAGAGTCCCCCTTGTTCTCTATCACTCAACAAGGAAGTGAGAAAGTCAAGCCTTAAATACCATTCCCAATAGTGTTTCCAATACTATGTGGGATTTGGCATTACCAACACTTGTTTCCAATACAATGTGATTATTCAGGAAACAATTAACAATCATGCACCTTAAAACAACTGAATCAACAACCAATTGCATTAGTATTATACGATTAAATATGTCATAATTAAATGTCAATCTACAATCAATCGCGATTATTGCAATTTTAAGCAAAACATTCAAAAATAATATCACTATTTAAGGCTCAATCCCACATAGTATTGAGAACAAGTGTTGGTAATGCTCAATCTCACATAGTATTGGAAACACTATTGAGAATGGTATTTAAGGCTTGACTTTCCCACTTCCTTGTTGAGTGATAGAGAACAAGGGGTACTCTCGCGCGCCGCCGCCGTCGCTGTCCGTCTCGGGTCGAGTCGTGGTCGTGGTCGTGGTAATACGTGTCTTCGACACGTCCGCGCTAATACTATCTTTTTAGAGAAAATTCTTAAGAAACAAATGCAATACCACCAGTCGTTGCGATTTTGGACTATCGAAATGCGATAGTCGACTATCGCATTGCGATTTACATATTCGCATTGCGATAGTCGACTATCGCATTGCGATTTACATATTCGCATTGCGATAGTCCAAGTTCGGATTGCGATAATCCAAGTTCGCATTGCGATAGTCCAAGTTCGCGTAGCGAATATGGAAACTGATTTGCGATACCGGAGATCGCGTTGCGAATTATCGATTACATTACGATTTAGTTGGTCATTTTCGTAAATCCAAAAAAAAGTTGGTTAAAATCATATATTATAAGGTATTTTTAGTCACTGAGGTTATTTTCTCTTTAATAAAACAAGCCGTTTCTAAAAAAAATATCTAATTTGATATTAGACTTGAATTATATATATATACTACTTAACTTTATTATTATTAGCCAATGTGTTAAAAAACATGACAGAAATCAAATTTACGTGTGAATTCGAAAAAAGTATAAATATCAATCTAAACCACCCAAGAGAGTTCAGAAAACCCGAGACAAAAAAAAATATAAGTATTAATTTTAATATTAAAATTAAGTTTACATATTAAATACTATATTAGCCCTAATAAAAATTTATTATATAAATGTATATCCGTAGATATTTTTTTTATTTTAATTGTATTTTATTCTAACTCCATCCTTGTATACTATTTTTAAGGCTCATATAAGGAAATTGGAAGCATGGGAGAAGAAGGGAGGTTATTAGCCCATTAAATGTAGTTTGATTTTGAACCCATTAGCACTTACATGGACTCATTATTTTCCCAACTCAAACCCATTTTTAGCATTTGTGAGATGGGCTTTTCACTTCCCATCTGGCTTTGTTAATTATCATTTTTATCCTCTTTACTTTATTAAAGTTAAAAAACTATCATCTCTTAATTTGACATGTAATTGGATCATTTTACCTTATAATATTATTAGTAGGGGTGTTAATTGAGTAGGGTAGTTGATGAGTAGTTTGAGTTCAACTCGATCAAAATTCGACTAATATATAACTCGTATCGACTCGATTTGAATTCGAGTTCGACTCGATACCTTAACGAGTAAATCAAAGTCTAACTCGACTCGATAAGTTCATGAACAAATTATTAATTATTTAATATTTTTGGGATTTTTATTGTCTTATTTTTAGGATTGATTATGTTTTGATATAACAATTTATAGCAAAATGTTTTTGGACTTGAATTGAATTTATTCAAAGTTTTCAAAAATAATTCAAAGTCCATTTAATTTGGAATTGAGCAAAAAATGTTTTTTCTGGACAATAAGTACTAATACTGGTCTTACAGTATCGATACCTCATGAACAATATCGATATTGTTCCTATGGTACCG